GCAATTCCAATTCCCTCTCACTCTGTTCATTCAAGGAGATAAAAGAGGGGAGTACACCCTACATGGAGGGCAGCCTTGCTAACCTCTGAGAAACTGAAATGCTGCTGGATTACCTGATAGACCAGAATTATGTAAAATGAAAGTAAAAGTTCTGTTAATTCTATACATTAAACACACAACTCCAAATTTCTTAATGGGAAAATAAGCAATTTTACTGCATAATGAAGTTAATTGAAAAATTCTGGCACACTTCCTTTAGAATTTAAAGGTCAAGAGTAAAAACACAAAGATCAGTAAATAAGTTAAATGTACATGAGTTTTTCTGCATAACATAAGGAGACAGGATAAATTACTTTTTGAATCCATAAACATTCTTTTTTTTTAAGGTTTGATATATTTCTCTTGTGAAAACAAAGAGTAAATATACCAAGCACATGCTGAAAACTTATGGATTTTTCTCATTGTTCTTCTAATTAAAGCCTTCAGTCCTGTACAGAATTAAAGTTCCTTACTGTCCCTCATTCCTTGGAATGTAGATTTTTAATGTACACAGCTAGGTTTCTACTTCTAAATAAAGAAAACAAAACAGAAATGAAGAAATTATCTTTAAAATTTCCAAACAAAAAGTGGATAGTCTAACTTAAATATGCATGCACGGTTTCTTTCCCAGGATGAAAAATATGTAATAGGAAAAAAAATCTTAAAAATAACACACTGCTTTCTGAAATCTGATTTGTCATTTATAGTAGAAAATAGAAAGTGAGACTAAATTACATATTTCAATATTAATACTTAAAAGATCAAAATATTTTCTGTAAATTACCAAACTGATTTTAAATCTAATGATTTTACAAAATAATTATCTTAGTAGAAGCTAGAAGTTCCTATGCTCTACTTAAAGAAGCACCTGCATATTCTGAAAAACATGATGAATTTCAGTTGTACTATAACCCAACTCCTTTAATCTCTGTAATAGTGCTTGCCTAATTTTATTCTGCCTGCTCCAAAGTTACATTCAACATTTGGTCAACAATGTTGGTGAATATAACAATAGCCTAAATTATTCCTTTCATTTTATATCCTATGATTTTGTTGTTATTTTTCCTTATTTTTGCTATAACATAATAAGCTAATTCATTCCTTTGTCTTGGTTTTGGAAGGAATTATACTCCAACATCTAGGAAATATCCTTTCCTAATTTAAAATAACTATGAGGTTGCACACTACACTAGTAAATTTGTAATCAACTTAAAGATAATGTGTTAAAAGTACAATTAAATATGTCATAACAGAAGAAAACCCTGGTAATTACAAATAGTGCCATGCTGCTGGGTGTTTAAACAGTAGCATAAAACTATGAAAAATCGCCACCCAGTGATGCAAATGAAAACTGCAATTTGTTTTTGTGTAAAATGAGCACCCTGGAGGATTACTTCAACTTCATTACTGAATGAAGGAACAGCTATTACCTTCTTCTGTGAATACAAACTGGCTACAAGGGAAAGGATGTTTTTCTACTAGGTTTCCCCCATCCCACTCTTATTCAGCACTCTGAACTAAAACAAAGACTAAAAGCTTTGGAAATCTTAATAGGGAGAAAGGCTTTCCATCCAAATGTGAGCTAATTGTGTAGGAACAGCCCAGATATTCCTATTATCAACAAAAGTGCCTGTGCTCTGCTTGGATCCTGAATTTTAAGTCATCATGCGTTGATTTTTATCAACTCAGCAATGCCATCAAATAATTGTGATCTAAAACCTATTAGCATTAATCAAAATACTAGACTATGAAAAGGTATTCTCAAATGGGAAAAAATTAGTTCTTTTATAGCTTTAACAACATAATTGACTATCCTATACAGAAACAGGTTATAAAGCTACATAACAAAATAATCTAACAAATTCTGTACAGGTTCATATTGCTAAGAAGCTGTTGCTATAAATTGTTTCTAAGTCTTTACTTAGTTGTATCATGTAAAAGTCAATAAACACAAAACCAATCAAATATACTTATTTTCCTGTAATGTACCTATTGAACATGATGCTTAATAAGAAAAAATTTAGATGGCTACATGCTAATCAAAATACATGTGTGCACATATATGGTGCTATGTTAATAAATAAAAGTATCRAAAGTATTACATATGTGCCATTTAACCTACTTGACACTTACCAAAATATTTTCAACAGTATGCCATCCTATTCTAAACAGAGTTTAAAACACTATTTTTTTTTTTTTTTAAGTCCAGGGATTGAACCCAAGGGTGCGTAACCACTCAGCCACATCCCCAGCCCTTTTTATTTTTGAGACAGGGTCTCACTAGGTTGCTTGCAGCCTTGCTAAGTTGCTGAGGCTGGCTTCGAAACTGTGATCCTCCTGCCTCAGCCTCCCATGTTACTGGGATTACAGGCATGAGCCACCATGCCTAGCTTACCATACTATTTTTAAAGAAAATTAATTAGATTCTAAATAATCTATCAGGAATTTTATCACTAATTTCAGTTAAGTCCTTAACTGTTGAAAGATTTTTTTTTAATTAACTAAACAATGAATATCACCTTTGCTCAGTTTCAAGGGTATTACTGTTATTTGCAACATTTTAATACTACTTAAAGTATTAATAAAAATAATGAGGTAGCCAAAATAAGAGTCAAACTTTATGGACAGTAATACAACAGCAATGCTCTTTTAGTAAAAATACAAAAAAAAAATAGTGCTTTCTCTTTTAAATAGTAGAGAATACAATTTTTTGTTGGTGGTTGTTTTTGGTGTTTGTGTTTTTTAAAGAGTACTTAAAAAGCTGGGCATGGTGGTGCATGCCTGTAATCCCAGTAACTCAGGAAGCTGAGGCAGGAGGATAGCAAGTTCAAAGCCAGCCTCAGCAACTTAGCAAAATCCAGTCTCAAAAAATAAAAAGGGCTGGGGAGTTTTAGAATCAAAACTGCTGATATGGTGAAAACATTCAAAATCCTTCCTTCTAGCTTTTTGAAATATACAGTATACTATCATCTGTAGTCATCTTACTGTGGAAATCCCCACTCAAACTTCTTACTCCCGTTTTTCCATATGTCTAAATCTTTAAAACATATGGCAATATGACAACAACAACAAAACCACCAGCACAAATAGTCCAGTGGTTAGAAGGCTCTGAAATCAGACTTCCTGAGCTCATTTCATATCTGCTAGAAAAACSTGGAAAAGCTAAGTCCTCATCTGTATGTAGAAATAGTACCACCTCACTCACAGGCTTGTTTTAAATATGTTACACACACTAACTCATTCAATCCCCCAGTACCCTTATGGGAAAGGCACTGGTAAAATGCTTATTTTCTAGATAAGCTAAATGACACCTGGGAAGGTTAAATAATTTGCCCGAGGTAGAAACTCTAATAAATGGTAGAACCAGGATGTCAACTCAGGCAGTCTGACTCCAGACTTATCTGTCCTTTACTGTAGAGCCTCTAAGATGCTCCTGAGGAATAAGGGAGATGAAKATACAGAGAAAACAGAAGAGATGATGCTGACTGGTATCATGAAAACTTGAGGAGAGTTAAGCACACAGAATAAGAAGTCCACACCCATTTTTTCATGAAAAACGGTGAAGAGATGAAGCTGTGTACCTGGAGGGAAACAGGGCTGAACAGAGACAATCATTAGCAGAACTAGAGTAATTCTTATAAAAARCAACACCAAGGGCCACTTCACTTGTGGTCAAACTTGTCTCTGAAATAGTCCCAAGTGGAAGGCAACAGAGATAAACATGAAGAAAATGTACACAAAGTTTTTAAGATCTAGCATTTGAAATTGTATTGCTCTCTAAGATGCCAGTGCACCCCACTCACATTCTTTAAATGACTACAAGATAACAAAAAGAATAATGTTAATTTCTAATAATGTAACAACAAAAAAGAGCAAAGTTCTGCATACGTCTTAATACTATGGAGATGTTAGAATGAGAAATACAAAACACAATTTGGAAAACCAGGCTTTGTTGGAAGAAATTTCTGAGAAAAGAATTTATGATGAATTTATTGTGAAGGAGATACTTCCCAGGAGGCCTGTGGTATTTGGAGTTTTTCTTTTAGTGAAACTAATTCAGAAGATGACAGGAAGGCAATGTCAGCATCTTTTAAGGCAAGCATTAACTGGAATTGACAGAACCAGTTCTAACTTTGAAAACAAGGCACAAATTCCCAACTTGGTAAGAAAGAAGGGTCAGATAAGCAGTCAGATCCAAGGGATCAGACCTTATCCCAGTCAGAAGGATGTACACTAAAAACACCAATCCTGGTACAACTCTGACCACCCTAATCATTGCCCTGTCCCATATCTTACAAGACAAACTCAGAAACACACAAAGTCCTTCCAAAACTTGGCTGGGAAGCTTGGAAATTCTAYGATAAAGTTTATCCATGAGAAAACCTCTATTCTGATTTCCCAGAGATAAAGATCAATAAATGGAAAAGAGTCATAGAGCTGAAATCCATGTACYGTTAAGCACAAGACCAAATCCTAAAGAAAAGGGATGATGAGCAAGAGACCCAACCAACCCTACTTCTACTGAATGTGAAGTAGCAGACTCCAGACTGACTGGGTCACTCCAGTTTGACAGGAAGTAAGAGGTAGAATATTTGGAAAGGAAGGCCCTGAGGAACATCCCAGGGAGGGGACCATGAGAGTCAGGGTTTCGCTAAGTTGTTGACACTGGCCTCAGCCTCCCAAGGATTACACGTGTTCACCACCATGCTCAGCTAGTTTACAAATATAATTAGAAGTACGAAGTACGCAGCCAAACCAATGTGTAAGAAGAGTCTAATTTGATAACACTATTCCATGTAATTGCTGAACTCTATTTTTACAGACTTCACTTTTTAAATTATACACATAAATTCATTCTGAAATTAATAATAAATATTTTAAAAACTAATCATAATTATCAAGTACTTTTTAAGGGAAAAACAATTCATCTAATTATGATCTTGTTTCTTAAAAAGACTCACCTAAGAGGACAAATCCATCTGCTTCTGCCTCTGGAACTGAGGGTTTCTTGGATTCTGAAGGCTTCCTGAAGAAGTGAAACATTGCTGCTGCCGCTGCTGCTATCTGAAACAGAAATGCTGTATAACATTAAACGCAGATGAAACTGTAAAATTCATAATAACTACTCACAACATAAAACTGTAAATATTGCAATAAGTACTCTTAGGAATCATATTGCCAGACATTGGACCATGAGTGGTCTATGGGTATCAGAAGCCAAAACTAGAAATTAAGGAACACAAACTTGTAGTCTAGAACAATGTGCGCCTTTCAATYTGCAATGCAACCTCTCAATTTCTGAAGATTCAAAATATCCAAGAAATTGCCTCATGTAAAACTAAAACCAACAGTTACTGCCAGAATCTGGAAAGATTTCACTAGCCATAAAACAYTAGCTTTTTCATCCTATAACTAGCTAAAGACTCATAAAACTAAGGCCACACATAAAAAGAAAGGAAGGTGCTTCAAACAACCTCTGCTGTTGGTTACCTGATTCAGTCTCAAAGAGTATACAAGTTATAAAACTGCAGCCAACTTTAAATTACCAGATCTTTGTGTTGGTGAGATCACTGTCCCTGACACACGCGCGCGCGCGCGCACACACACACACACACACACACACGCACACAACCCTCTCCTCCTACTCTCATCTTTGCACATTCAAGGAGGGCAAAACTTCCAGAAAACAAGTGGGATGAAAGCTGAAGGGCAGTTTGCAAGAACACATTACATTTTGAGCACAGTCCCTTATAAGGAGAAAAACATAGGAGAAGGCAAAGAAAGGACGACTCCTGGTGGCAATAAGCACTCAACATTTTAGTTTACATAAATTCCACCCATACCAGAAAAATCAGACTAGGTAAGATATAACCTGAGTGAAAGCCTTCTAGAAGCTGAGAATTTAATTGGGATTATATAGGCTCCCTGAACTAAGCAATAGATCCATAAGGGTATTAACTCCAACATAAGTGGGTAAACGGAACATATTTGTTTACAGACAACATGGTTGTCAGATTTCACTTTTAAAAGGAACAAAACAAAAAGAAGAAAAACACCAGCCATGAGAAAAAATAAAAATATTCCCGTAAAGGAGAAAGAAACAGCTTCTGAAATCCTCAAAGAAGGGCTTGGTGGATATAGTGACAGAGCCAAAGAAAAAGCTCTAAAAATAGTTTGGCACTCACTCTAGAGTACAAGGAGGCACAGCCTCCATGAAACTGGTGGAAAAAGAAGATTAGATGAAAATGCAAAAGGAAAAAATGAGCCAATAAGAAGTCAGATTTTAAAAAGTAACTAAGACAAAGAGAAACTCATGCAAGGAAAACATGAAGTCAGAATAGTACCATTTGATTTAAAAGCAATTAAGTAAGAAAAGAATTCAAAACCAAAGACATAAAGGATAGGAATAGAACAACCATATGACCCAGCTATTTCACTCCCCCATTTATCCTAAAGTATTAAAGTCAGAATACTATAATGATACATGCATACCCGTATTTATAGCAGCACAATTCATAATAGCCAGCCACAAAGGATCAGTCAAGGTGTCCCTCAACAGATACTCATCTGGATAAAATTACTGTGAACAAAATACCTGATCAGAAAAATTAAAGGAGGAAAAGTATTCATGGTTCATAGTTTCAAAGGTCTTAGTCCATAAATGTCTGACTCCATTGCTCTGGGGCCATGACTAAAGGATGGGGTGGCAGGGAGCAGAGGCAGTGCTCATGTATAGCAGCAGAAAACAACTAGAGAGAAAGGAAAGGGCCACAGGGAAAATGAACCCTTCCAGCCATGTCCCATCTGCCTATAAGTTACCACCATTCCGTCCATTTAAACTAGAATGAACTGATGAGGTTACACCTCTCACAATCTCATCTCTGAATATTCCTACATATTACACCTCATAGTCAGACCACAAAGAAGTATACATACACAATGCAGTTTTATTCAGCCATAAAGAAGAAAGCAATTATGTCATTTGCAGGAAAATAGATGGAATTTAAGAACATATGTTAAGCAAAATAAGCCAAAAATAGAAAGTCAAAGGTCATTATGTTTTCTCTCATACATATGAGAGAAAAAAGAAAAAAAGAAAAACAGGATGGGGGAAATCTCAGGAAAATAGGAGGGATGCCAATAGAGTAGATGAAGGGGACTACAAGGGGCAATGGAGGAAAGGGAAGTTATCAGGGAACGAAACTGCCCAAATTATATTATTATATTGTAGGCATGTACAATTATATAAAAATTAATCCCRCTGTTATGTATAATTTTAACACAAAAATGATTTTTTTTAAAGTTAGACTTTTTAGATTGGAAAAAGCAATCACTTTTCAGCTCCAAACACTTAAAAATAAAACTGAGAAAGCCTTTGAAGTAAAAACAGCTGATTAAAACTCAACCTCAGTAAGAATTAAATCAAAGATATAAGACCTGATATTAAAACTCAGCACAGACTAACACGGCACTCAGTAAATTCTTGTGCTTAGAAGAACCTGGTTCAAGAAAAAGAGACTAAAGGAGTCGTCTCCARCTAGAATCCTAATAGAGCCAAGGAAATATGAGCAGAGGTGGCAGCGGGGCGGGCTGGGTGGCGGGATGAGAAATACAGGAAATCTCAGAACTACATCAAGCAAAAATTGTAGGTCTGGCTATTGTGACACCTGAAGCTGAATGCAGTCAAATAGAAAAGAAGCCAACAAAATTTTAAGAATTGTACTAAAAAAATAACTGTTAGTCTGGATTTGGATGATTGAATATTTAAGGCAACCAATAGGTGATAGTTTTCTATAGACAAGAAGCTACAGAGAAAATAGTAGTATAAAAATGTAATTCTGGGAGAGGGCAAGCAAACATCATTTGAAGATCTTCCCTCTGTGAGTGGTCATCAATCCAGTAGCCAGGTTTAGTTCCTCTTCCTAACTAGTAACTGTAAAAAAAAGGGGGAATAACTATAAATACCTCTGATATATATAGGTTCCTACAATGTATSACGTACTATATACTAAAATGGCTTATACACGCTACCCTACTTCTTATAATCCTTATAATACTCTACCAGATATGCATAATTATTCAGATTGTGTAAGTGAAAGAATTCAAGTAAATGTAGGTTAAGTATTACTCCATGTTTACATGGCAAGTAAAGAGTATGGCTGAATTTTTTTTTTTTAAGACATCTCTCTATGTTGCCCAAGCTGGCCATGMACTCCTGGGCTCAAGAGATCCTCTTGCCTCGACRTCGTAGTTAGAACTTTTAAGTGCATACCACCACACCAGCTAGAGCTTAATTATAAATTAAGTCCTTTTGGTACCCAAACTGAATGCTTTCAACAATAAAGGAACAGAGACAAGAAGCTCTTCAAATTTATGTATCAGACTTTCTTTAATATTCCTCAATATTAGTTAAATGCATTTGATTAATCCAACTTCTATTAATCCCTAATTCTCAAAGTCTTACCCATCTCTATCTTWTGGAGACATTTATGAATTCCACAAAATCTATATTCAAGGCTTCGGTTTATATTTTGTAAACATCAGTGCTTAGGCCAGCTACTGATCTAGGAGTTCCGATGCAGCAACAGACATATTTGTGAAGAACAAATTGTAATCTCATCACTCATACATCTGAGACAATTCCTAGCAAAACAGGGTAATTTAAGCGTACCATCCTCAAAGTGAAGAAAATCTCTGATAGTCTAGTATAAAAGTCCCAACCAAGCACTCTTGCTTCTGAGGTACATGGCCTTGACAACTGGATGACTTCTACAAAGAGTTCCTAAGCATGCTCCAGTCTTATTCCCTCTTTACAATTTTCACTACTTTTAAAATTGTCTACAATGAGCAAATTTTACAGTTATAAGCAAGAAGAGATACAAAAATTTGTTCTTAATAATCCACTATTTGCTAGCAGCAACACTCTTGCATGGCTGAATTAGAACTCAACCAAGAATGCCTCCAAATCTCAAACACAGGCCTCCTGGAGTTATTTGGGGTATACAGAATTCACTTGCCCCAGCCACAGGCTGGGAGAAAATATCTGCAAATCACACATTTGCTCACAAACACATATCTACAATATATAAAGAACTCTTAAAACACAATAATGAAGCAAGTCATGGTGGTACATTCCTACACTAGTTTCTTGAGAAGCTGAGACAGAAAATCGCAAGTTCAAGGCCATCCTGAGCAACTTAGGAAAACCCTGTCTCAAAATAAAATTTAAAAAGAAAAATAAAAAGGTTACGGATGTAGCTCAATGATAGAGTACTTGTCTAGCCCTGAGTTCAATCCCCAGTAACAGCACAAAAATAATAACAAACAATGACAGAATAACTCAATAAAAACTGGGCAAAGAGATATAAGCAACCATTTCATCAAGGAAAATATGGCAAACAAACACATGGAAAGGTGCTCAGTATCATTAGTCAATTTAAAAATACAAATTAAAATCTCAATGAAGTATCACSACATACCTAACAGAATTTTTAAAATAAAAAAGCTTGTTGTGCTGTTGTGGTGATCTRGACTGTCCCTCAAAAGGCTCGTGTGTTGAAAGCATAGTCCTSAATGCAGCAAGGTTCAGAGGTAGGGTTTTGATTTGATTAGGARGGTTCTGATCTCATCAGTGAAAATTAATCCACTGATGGCTAAGTGGACTCCTGGGAGGTAGGACCTAGATGGAGAAAGCAGGGGACTGGCCCTGAAAGGATTTATCTTCTTCCCCAGCAACCCAACCCCKTCTTCCTGGATGCCTAAGCTGAGCAGCTTTGTTCTGTCATGCCCTTCTGCCATGATGTTTTGCCTCACCTCAGGTCCACAGACATGGTGCTAACTAYGGACTGAAACCATCAGTCAAAATGAATCTTTCTTCCTCTAAGTTCTTCTTGTCGTTTTAGAAACAGCAACAAAAAGTTAACATGCATGACAAGTGTTAGTGAAGATGTAGAACAACCAGAACTTCTGTACATTGGTGGCAGCAGTGTACAACCACTCTGAACAACAGTTTGGTAGTTTCTTTTTTCTTTTTTTTTAAACATCAGAAATTTATTATTTGCTCAAAACATTACATTGA